CAAGGAGCGGAGACAGAGCGCTCCCCTCCCAGGACCCCCTTCTCACGCTGTCCCCTTCGTGCCCCCAAAGCACACTTCTGCTGTCAGCAGGGCCACGCTGTAGTGAAGGCAGCTAAACTCCCAAGCACCTAAAAATATCTTCTGAAAACAGAATCATAGAATCATAGGTTGGAAAAGACCTCTAACATCATCAAGTCCAACCATCCACCCAACACCACCATGCCTACTAAACCATATCCCAAAGTGCCACATCTACATGTTTTTTAAACACCTCCAGGGATGGTGACTCAACGACCTCCCTGGGCAGACTGTTCCAATGTCTGACCACTCTTTCAGTAAAGAAATTTTTCCTAATATCTAATCTAAACCTCCCCTGACGCAACTTGAGGCCATTGCCTCTTGTCCTATCGCTAGTCACCTAGGAGAAGAGACCAACACCTGCCTCACTACAACCTCCTTTCAGGTAGTTGTAGAGAGCAACAAGGTCCCCCCTCAGCCTCCTCTTCTTCAGCCCCAGCTCCCTCAGCCGCTCCTCATAAGACTTGTTCTCCAGACCCCTCACCAGCCTCATTGCCCTTCACTGGACACACTCCAGTGCCTCAATGTCCTTCTTGTAGTGAGGGGCCCAAAACTGAACACAGCATTCGAGGTGCGGCCTTTAAACAACGGAGTTTTTACTGCACCTCTGAAAAACACATGGAAGAGCTGGGGGGACCCAGAGGTTTGCCTGCAATTCCTCGAAATCTCAAGGACGCAGCTGACCCGCAGCACAGCACTGTCCTTGTTAGTGCTAACAAATGGGATCTTGTGTAGGGTCATTCATGCTAACACTGTAACACAGGGCAGAACAGGAGTCAAAGATCAGTCTTGGTAGTGGTGCAACCAGGTACAGCTTTGCTGTACAATGGATGCTGTGTCATAAAGTCACCAGCCCAACTGCAACTCAGTCGCTGGGGGTACCGTGTAAACATGCCAGGCCATCAGACGTGCTCACACACGCTGCAGAGAGCTGAGCCGCTAACCGGAGCAGGCTATCAAGTTTTGTTGGCTGGCAAGTTGGACACAGACTACATCCACAAAAAGCCAGTAACCATCCAACCTGAAGCTGATTTTAGCGGAGATGGAGATAACACGCTATAGAAGTCCCGTACTTACTTTATGAGGCCATCCTCCATGTAAATGTCAGCATAGAATGACTGGTCATCGTTGACTATCCTCCCTCCTTTAATAAGGAGACGATCACTCTGCCAAGGGAAGAACACAGCAGCTGTCAGCAGCAGGCAATACACGGTCTTCTCAGCAGCCCATACAGTGCCGTTCTTGGGTACTCTCCTACTGCATCAGACAGCTCAACCCAACAGTCAGTGCCGCAGAAAGTTCACATCTGTACCAACACTTGAAACAACAGGACAAGAGCAAAGATTTAAAAAATCATACCCATAGGGCTGTTTCTGAATGGAGCAGGTGCTGCCAGAAACACCATCAAGGCAGAATGAGTACAAAGGAGAGGCACTGGAGACACAGCAAATACACTTCCAGAAAATACAGACAGAAGTCAAAAGCTTCCTACACCAGGTCATTATGCACACAAATCTGCAGGGAGCACAAGCCACGTATCAGGATTTAGAGCAAGCCTGTACCAAGGGCACGTCCTTAAATCTTACCCAAATACCATGCAAAATAAGTTGCAGTTGTATCTCTCAACTTACATCTCTCTCATCTGTTACCACCTTGCAAAGACCACCAACAGGACAGGCAGCCCTGCAGATGATGCGTCTGCTGTTGGAATGTGTCCCTCTGCTACGATGCTCAGGGTGGTCCTTCTGAGGTCTTTCATATCACAGGTCTACACGAGGCCCAGGAGGCACTGAACCGCATCCCCACCTCATCATTTACCACCTCCTCTGTTCTCCTTTCTACCAACAAAGGTGGCCAGCAGCCTCCTCCTCCGGAGCGAGCCTGACAGTGGAGGAGCACCTGGACCAGAACCGCTCCTATGCTCCTCCTGTACTCACACCTTTGGACCTGGGCAACCCAGCATGCACTGACGGGAGAGAATGGACACTGTCCTGTGGGGAACAGGCCCCGTCCTCAGGAACTGGGAAGGCTGAGTCCTGCTCTTCTACCTCCACCAGCCGCAGGCAGTACAGGGGCAAACAGTCTGATCTCACACATGGCTACCACATGTTCGGGTGACATAAGCTGACTGTGCTGTTCCAGGGAACAGGCAGTCTTCCTGACTGATTAAAAATGCCTCCAACAACCCCCCAGCTCTCAAGCCCCCCTTACGTTCCTCTCTGCTCCCCCAGTGCCCACTGCCCCGGTTTTTGCGTGTGAGTACCCCACCTCCCAGCCTGAGCCTGGGCCACGGCTGGCAGCAGCCTTCTGCAGGGCTCACACGCCAGCCTCCCCCGCTGAAGCTCTTGCATGATTAATTCCTCTGCAGGGAACTGGGTTTGTTCGTCACCCGCTGCCCCCGGGATGATTTCTGGAAGTGTCACCACCAGCGACAGCAATCTGTAGCCTCCTCCCTGGCACCAGAAGGATGCAAGAGAATCCGCCCATGCCCCTGCAGCTTGCAGCAGCCGAAGCCCCGAGACCGGTGTGCGTTTTCATGGCAATCTCATCCACACACAGCCGAGACAAAGAAACTGGGTGGGGAAAGGATGAGAACGCGCGGCGTGCTCAGCCCCGGCTGCAGCTCCGTGCTGTGCAGGGAAGAGCCACGGTCTCTCCTTGCTGCTCAGGCAAGGGCCTTCCCATGGCCGCACCGATGACCCAATCAGCAACCCGAGTCCCAGCCACGGGGATTCACCTTCCCCCCCAGCGCAGCTTAACCCCGACCAGGAGCCTCACCTCCCACCAAGGAAAGGCTGAGCAGCTCCCCTGCTCCTGGGCCACCCTCCCTCCCCCCTGACAAGCGGGCCCAGGGTCAGCTCCCGCTCTCCCCAGACCTCAGCTAACACATCGGCGCAGAGGTCCAAGGGGGAGGTCTGGCAGCAAGGGCATGTTTCTGGTCCCAGAACTCCCCACACGGCTCCTCTGAACAGCTAGCTTTAACCGCTCATCACCAGCACAGAAAGGTGCTGGCCTTGACCAGTGACCCGGGGACCACCCCACTGCCCACCTGCAGCTCTCGTCCCCAGGTACAACCAAGGAGGAGGGCAGCAGGGTGTGCTCTGGTCCTCACGCCAGCTCTCAGCCTGCGCTGCGTCTGCCCAGCAGGCACACGCCAGGTGATGCTCAGCTTCGGGGCTCAGGACCCCAAGCCCTAACACACGCCATGGACAAACCGCTGACTCCCCCCCTCCCCCCGCACAGGGCGCTTGTCCTTCCCTTTGTGTCCATCCAATACTCATCTCACTAACAATACTGTAATTTTACATTCAGAAACACCTAAAAGAGTCAAGTGTGACCACAGACAGTTGCTTATAGCCTGTCAGCCCCAGGGCTCAACCAGCTGGGGCATGGCTCCTGCGGATGGCAAATGATGAGTATTTAAGTAACACCACAAGAAATGTAGATAGAAACTACCAAGCAATATTATCAAGTGTCAGCTATGGAAGAATCAGGGCCACAGTTGGAAACACAGGGAAGAAGATTTTTGGTTTGTATTTCAGTCAACTGTACTTGGAGTGCCTCCCACATAACCAATCCACCACGCCCCGGCAGATCCTCCTTGGCTTTACATAGCCTCCACGATGAGAAAAAAAGAGTCTACCTGCCCAGACCCAATAACACGACTGGGCTTCCATTTTTTTTTGGCTTGCCCATACCCTTTAAGCCTCCCCAGCTGGCTTTCCCAAAGGCCCTGGAGTTCATTCTCACTAGTGTGGGAGTGCCAGCAAACACTGATGCTGGCCTGCCTCTCCCTGCACATCGGGACGAGAGAACGCAAAGGGAGACAGGCACAGGCAGCGTGAGGGGTAGGAGACTGCAGCACTTGACAATTACTGAATAAACCGTTAACATGAACTCAGAAAATACGCCTGCCCACAACAGAAATGGTCATTCTGTGGCAGATGTGAAGGGCTGCTCAAGCTAACTCTGTTGGTACACAAAATTGTGAGGTCCATCATGGATGGCGCACAAACAAGGCGTTCGTTCATCCAGGGATCGGGCGCTGCCTTGGGGCCCACCCTGAGTCCGGCTGCCAGACACCCCCCACCCGCATGGGCGCTTACCCACCAACCATGAGGGAAAAATATAATAAAGTAAAATAAGTAAAATCCAAACGACACCACATCTACAGGCTCTGGCATCGTTCAGGAGTGCACCCAGACATCAGGAGGCAGGGGAACAGGAAGAGAACGAAGCAGCTACGAGGAAACAAGTCTGACTTAATAGACAGGCTTCTGCAGCACGCGCTGCCAGAGCCGCCTCAGATGACAATAAATGCACTGTTTCCCCTGCCAGGGCTTGGCTGTGCCTCTCCACACCCTCCATGACCCCCCGCCAGCCAGTGTCAGGCTGTGTCATCAGCCCTCGTT